GCTACTGGTTACTGGTGATTTCCTCTTAAAATCTTCCTTTTTGCTGTTTTCTTTGGAAGATTTAGGTCAGGGGTGTCCAATGCTTGCTGGGGGCGGAACAGGCGCTCGCACAGCCCCCCTCTCCAGCCGGGCGGCTGCTCCCTTGCGAGCAGGCTCCCAAAGAGCCGGGCACAGCCTCAGGGGTGAAGCATCCATGATGTGACCATGCTCACGAGCAATCGCCCGGCAAATCCCCTCTCCAGCTGGGCAGAGCGCCATGCACCGACCTAGAGGTATCCCTAAGGTGACAAGTCACATGGCGCTCTGCCTGCTCCCCAGCTCCCGCAGCTTGGCACATTAGGGATACCCCCTAGGTCAGTGCATGGAGCTCTGCCCGGCTGGAGAGGGGTGTTGTGCGAGCGCCTGTTCCGCCCCCAGCAAGCATTGGACACCCCTGACCTAAATCTTCCAAAGAAAACAGCAAAAAGGAAGATTTTAAGAGGAAATCACCAGTAACCAGTAGCTTATTCCATCTCTAGCTCTTCTTAAGAAAGGAGAATGTTTATACTTCTATGTTTCTGTGTGTGGGTGGCTCACCAGTGTATAAGCGGGAGTATTTTATTTTATGGTAATTATTTTAATTAGCTGTTATTTTTCAATTATTAGCTGTTATTTTTCAATTATTTTTCTTTCTTTTACTCTTTTTTGACGTGTCGTTTCTGCACATAAACTCAGATACATATATGAACATGCATGTAAGTCCGTTGCACCTACAAAGTTATCATTAAAGGGAATCAGGAAGAGATAGGGAAACTAGGATTATTATCTGTGTGGCTTTTTTCCCGTCTACTCTTTCCTTTAAAAAAAAATATTACAACCTACCTTGTATCTTAAGCTGTCTTTTATTTAAGCATACGTGGGAAATTTTAGTACAGTGGTTCAACTGCCTTTTGTAATCTGAAGAAGAGAATTATTTTTATAAAACTTCAGGCTTGGAAGACAGGCCTTATCTGGGTTCTTACCCATCCAGGATGAGATTTTCATATGTCGCTTTCTTGTCGCACACAGGACAGATCCAGGTCGGCTTCTTCTCATTCATTTGAAGATAGAGAGCGGCGTCAAAGCACTGCAGGTGAGTACATGTGCCGGCACGGCAGGGGATTGTCAGTCTCATTTTCCCCAGCTGGTGACCCAATAGGGTAGAAAGAGAACAGGGACGAAGAAATTCAACTCTCAGGAAATGAAACGAAAGCCCCTCGTTTAGGACGAATGGTCAAATCCCCCCCAAATACAAGGATCGCATCTCCCACAGACCAGGGTCCTGCCACTGCATGAATGCATCTAATAACTGGAGAAATGTTTTTTTCCATCTTGGCAATTTTAAGATGGGTGGACTTCTACTTTCAGAATTCCACACCCAGTTCATATTTATTTGTAGTAATAATTAAGATTAAATGGGAAGAGTGCAGAGACAAGCGACAAAGATGATTAGGGGATTGGAGGCTAAAAAATACAATGGACATTTGCAGGAATTGGGCACATCTAGTTTAATGAAAAGAAGGATAAGGGATGGNCACCTGAGGGTAGGACAAGAAGCAATGGGTGGAAACTAATCAAGGAGAGAAGCAACTTAGAACTAAGGAGAAATTTCCTGACAGAACAATTAATCCGTTGTTCTAGAAGTTGTTCCACTGATTAATTGTTCAACACTGGCCGTTTTTAAGAAGATGTTAGGTAACCCTTTGTCTGAAGTGGTGTAGGGTTTCCTGCCTAAGCAGGGAGTTGGACTAGAAGACATCCAAGGTCCCTTCCAACTCTGTTTATTCTATTCTACTTGTTTATGTCTTTGCCCATAGCAGCATAGAACATTTTGTAACTGATCTGGTGTCAAATTTGTGAGACATTCATACACTTTGGTGTTTTTTTTTTATTATTGCCTGGCAATATCAATGGGATTTAGAGTAAAAATACATACTATACATTAGATGTTTTAAAAAAAATCTTAGAAGGTGATGATTGATGGAGAGTAGGCTTAGGGAGGATAGGAACATTTAATCAATTATCTTCCAACAATTTTTTTTGCACAAAAACTGTCCATATGTCAAGCTGCTTTGATTGGCAAATTAACAAATCAACCTGATGATTTAGATGGCAAATCTTTCTTCAGACTTCTGGATTCTGTATAGTAAGGCATTTAAATTAATGCCTTATTTGTTTGCTCTCCAGTAAAAGCCACAGGATCAGTCTACAAATCATGCCTTTTTCTAAAATAAAATAATAGCTATTTCAGTTATAAATTCCTTTAATGTTTATAATACCTCTGACTTTGAGGATTGTGGCTTAAGGTTTAGAGCTGCGTGCAAGTTTTTGCTCTGAACTTTAATCTCATAACAAATTGGGATCCTCTGTACAGATAATCCTTGACTTACAACCACAATTGAGCCCAACATTTCTGTTGCTAAGTGAGACATTTGTTAAGTGAGTTTTCCCCCATTCTACGGCCTTTCTTGCCCCCCGTTGTTAAGTGAACCTCTGCAGTTGTTAAGTTAGTAACATGATTGTTAAGTGAATCTGGCTTTCCCATTAACTTTGCTTGTCAGAAGGACGCAAAGGGTCATCACCTTACCATGAGACATTGCAACTGTCATGAATACGAGTCAGTTGCCAAGCGTCTGGATTTGAATTGTTCTAAGTCGAGAGGAGCAACGAGTACTAAAAACGAGTACTGAGCAAACCACATGACCTACTCCATGATCCTTTATTTCAACGGGAAGAAGTAGCGAGTCATGAGGCAGCTGACACTAGCAAGTTCTACCTTATGCGTTGAGGACTGGGAGAAAAACAAATACCGGGACAAGGTTTTCACTTCAAAATGCATCAAGTACCAAATTTTACAAATTTTAAAGCAGCCGAGTGCCAAGATATGACTGTATTAAATTAGATTGTAAGAATTGTAGCTGTTTGTTGTAAACATTAACAATTTTGTAAGTATGGATTTTGCACAGGAGAATTCATGGAATTTCTGTGTGTATTAGAACACATAGAATTATCTATTGTTAGTTTGGTGATATGTTCAATGTTTGTTTGTCTATGATACGTTAGAAGTTTATTCAGGGAGGGCTTGTTAAACTGTAATAAAAATTTAGTAATAAAAATGCATGAAGCTCTAAAAGTAGTGTCTGTTTTGGATGGAAAGATGGATGTCTTAATGGAAGTCCTTCAGTGTTAATAATTGCAACATTGGTGCCACATGTGATTTTGCAGGTTTGTATCTGAGCAAGTCTTAAATTTCAAATCAGTATCTCCCACAATGTGAAACTGTCTTCTGCCCAAATGTGTAGATAATTAATTCCAGCTGTATAGGGCAGGGCTGGGTTCCGGCAGGCACTACTGCCGGTTCGCTCATGTACACACTGCTTGCGCATGCGTAGTGCAATGAAATTTTTTCTGTGCATGCGCAGAACTGAAAAAACAAGATGGCGGCACATACGGTGCCACCCAGGGAACCAGTTTGGGAGTGTAGCAGGCCTGGGTCACTGCCGGTTCCAGCGACCCAGGCCACCAAACCACTACCGGTTCGGCTGATCCGGTCCAAACTGGTAGGAACCCAAGACTACTATAGGGGTGGTTTTTGACTTATGATCACTCACCAAAAGATACTTACAACACACGGTTCTGAAGTTCTTCAGTCGGTTCTGAAGGTAATACAGTTGACTTGGTCACACACTTTATGACTGTCACAGCCAGTGGTGGGTTGCAGGCGGTACGCCCCACTATGGCGTAATCGGAGCCAGCCCGGAGCACCAGATACCGTTCCGGTACTGTGCTCCGGAGGGCCCATCTACCCACCCGAGCTCCTTACCAGTCTTTTAAGTCTTCTGTGCTTCTACGCACGGTGCGTACAGCACCTGAGCAACACTCCGCTGAGTATCTGGAGCGTTGCGGAGGCTGCACGCATCCATGGGGATGCCGCCGGGCCCGTTCCAACTGTAGCAGTTGGAACAGGATCCGGAACCCACCACTGGTCACAGCTTACATCTGTAGTGGACAGGCTCCATTACTGTTGTAAGTCAAGGATTACTTGTATTCTGTAATTTCATCCAGGAACTCAAAGCATGCACATTGTATTTCCTTAGAGTGTACAAGCTTCCAAATGTACAACTTTACAAACTTCCTTTACAGCAGATTTCCATGTTTCAGGCTTTGCGGACTGGCAGGGAGGGAAGGGATGGTTCACCTAAGCGCCTGGCAAGTACACACACCACTCCTTTTGCCTGAGCAGCATGTATGCACGCCTACCACCCACACAAATGGAGCATACACACTCCCTCGCTACTCCACAAGTGAGGATGTGTGTGTGTGTGTGTGTGTCCGCGCGCGCACTTGCCAGCGGTTTCCATGGCTCAGCTGCAAACCGCTCACAGCCCACTAGTTGGGGACGCCTGTTTTACCGTATCACCTAGAGAGCTTCCATAGTTGAACTAAATCCTCCCAGTGCTAGTTCATACCAACAGACCAGTTCTTGGATCAAGAACGTCTAGACAGGCTGCAAAGTTCAACACTGAATATTGTATTTCTGCAAACAAATGGCTTCTGTAAGACAAGGACTACCTTATTTAGAGAAGCAGTGGCTTTCCAGCTGAGTGGTGTCCCTATGGATTGCAACTGCATTCTGGGTTTCAGGCAGGGTTTTTTGCTAGCTCCCAGATACACTTGCCTGAGATTCAAATACTTAACAGTGTGTTCAACAAAGCTTCTCTATGTTATGAGTGCATCTTTCCCTTTAGGGGGAAAAGTAATGATTGCTGTCAGGTGAATGTATCGAGTGGAAGACAGAGACGTACCGTGGCCACCATAAGAGAGAAACCCGTTCATAAAATGGCTGCTACAGTGAGCTTGGCTAGTATTTATCAAAAGCTAAACCAGCCTCCCAACATGCTTTCTATCATCTCAGTGCGAACACGATATTCCCACAAATAAATTTGATAGCAGAATCTTTTTTTTTTCCAGCTAGTTTGCCAGTTTCCTATTTCTATATCCACTGTTCGCACTACAAGACACCTTATGAAAAAGTTCCTATGCTGGCATGGTTTCTCTACATCTGGAGTATTACTCTTTCATTGCTATGTGTTTGAAACAAATAGGAAACCTCAATGCAGTTTAAATTGTCAATTCTTAAATTATTCAAGAAGAGGATCAAAGGGTTGCTGGGGAAAGAGTCAGCCGTTGTATCAATTACAGTGACACAAGAGGAATAGATCTCACCAGCATAGCCATAAAATAAAAAAAAGGTTCCTCTTCAGTCTTTGTCTTAGACAATAGCTGTCCTCATTTCCCTGGCAATCGGGTTGCCCTGTTACATCTCTTATATTAAAGCTTATATTAAAATCTCAATATGAATTTGCAGCAGCGATTTAATTGGCTTGCCTGGAAGTGCAGAATTAACTTCCCAAGAAATGACTAGCAAATAGATTTGGAGTAAATTTACAAATAGTGGCACACACACATACACAGAGAGAGAAAGAGGCAACACAATTTTCATTACAAATGACATGGATTCATCTTAACCTTATTGCTTAACCCATCCTAAGATATAAAGGGAAATCCACTGGTTGTTTTGGCAACGGTAATCTCCTCCCTTGCCCTTCTTTCTCTCTGACATCCAACAAATCTATGGGCATAGAACAGTGGTGGGGTGCAGGTGGTAAGCCCCGGTACAGGAGTACTGGTGCCTGCTCGGAGCACTCGGTACCATTCCAGCCAAGCAGCTGGAGCGGCACAGAGGTGTCGCAAGAGGTAAGGATGCATGCCGTGTGTGCGTGCGTGCGTGCGTGCTGCGCGCATTCATGTGGTGGATGCTGGGCCCCATTTCACCGTACCGGTTGCACCAGGATCCAGAACCAGGGGTGGGTTCCTACCAGTTCTAACCTCTTCTATAGAAGAGGTTCCACAAATCTACCATGCTGTTTAGAACCGGTTCCAGCTCCCTCCCCCCGCCCATCTGCACCATGTTTGCCATGCCCACCGCTCACCAATGGCTGGCTCACCAATCACCCCACCTGCCTCTAAGAGTCCTATCTAAACCTTAACGTCTTAAAGCTGCCAAGTTTGAACAACATGGGTTTTTTTTTCTAAAGGGTTAGGGGTGTCTTGTAACTTAACAGCTTTAAGGCTTGGGTGCTT